TGCTAAGATTACAAAGATCAGCTTCAAAGAATTACACCTCTAGAATCCCAAATGAATATCCTACACTATGCAGCAACTTTTGTACACAGACCTATGAAATGACTGAATGACCTCAAGTCCTTTTCTCTGAAGTCTAGGAAATCAACTAGGACAGATGTGAAGGAAATACTGTACTCAGCTCTGAGAAACAGAAGTCTGTTGCAATGTATCAGTGTCCAGGGCCTGACTCTCACACTGATGACCCTGAGCAGGGAAAGAATAAGGTGGAGAGAAAACATGAGCCTGCCTCGTAAAACTATATACTCTCCTAGTACCATGGGCTACTAAACAGAGGGGTGCAGCAACAAAAAAGGACACACCCCCCCACCACCACCGGCGTTCTAGATGTGAGTCTTAACAGGTATATGTCTGAACCTTACCTCCAGCTGGTCAACTGTCCGCATTTCCAAGGTCATGAGCGTTTCTGACAGCTGAAGTATGTCCTCATTGTACTCAGCTAGCTTAGACTCAGCGATATCGTAACTACTGACGTCCTGAATCTCATCCAGCGTCTAAACACAGAGATACATAAATTACTTATAGTTTGTGTTCAGCACTCCATTGCAATTTAATTAACTTGTTACACATGTGAGAAAAGTTCTGCTGCTGATTAGCTGAAACGAAATGTGATGATTCAGTAAGTCTCCAGATTTACATACTGGGTAGTCAAGTGTGCTGAGGTATGCTACAATGTTAACAATCCAATAGCAATGCAGTGAAATCAGTGAAAAACTCTTGCTCATGCTCCAGTCAGCAAATGACTTCTCCTCTCATGCTTCCAACTTTGGCTCCCCTTTTGACACATTGCGAGGGAAAAATATTAGATTCTTGACATTGCTGGCCATAAAAGAGAGATTAACAATTACTTCTCCGAAAGAAACGCAGGCCTAAATCTGGATCCCCTTGAAGTGAAGGAGAATCTGGATTGACTTCCATAGGGTCAGGATGTAGTATTCTGCATATGGAATACCTTTCACATCCTGACTTCCTGTTACAGCAAGGAAGTATTGCCCTTCATTTTTAAATATTGATGTCAGTTTTGTATCAGACAAGATTTATTATTTCTTGAATCCAAAAAATCCTCCTATGCTAAGCAATGTATTATTTTCAAGCATGCTTAAAATAAGTTAATAATCAAATGTTAATAGGAGAGAAAAAAAATGTTTTAAGATGTCTAATCCACTCTTCCTTAGAGGCAATGGAATGGGCTAAAAGAGAGAATTTTGACCGGAATCATTGCCAAGACTTGCTTCTAAGAAGAGACTAGATTACCCAAGCTTTACAGTGTTTAAAGGGGGGGGGAGAGAGCAAAGTATTTTCCTTTCTAATTTAAAGAAGTTAGGGGGCCCGTGAAAAACTCCCAAGCAATTCAAGCCACACCTCTGGGATCAAAAACTTGAAAGTTCAAGGGCTGTAAAGCTTCTTTGCTCCTTAACTTTAGAGAGCAGAGCTATTTTACAAGCTAACCAAGCTTGCATGAAAGGATTACAGATAGACAAACACTAAGAACAGTTTACAAATGTCAGTCTGTTGGGACCTCTGCACTTTTTGAACTCCTCCATCACTTTTAAACAGCCAATCAGGAAATGCTGTTAAAAGACAAGTCTTCAGTTTTGACACCAAGCCCTCCATATTTATGTGAGAACTGTCACACTGACCAACGTGTCCTATTCTAGCAGCTCGATCCATAGCTGAGCCTGTAAGCCATCAAAGACAAACTGCCAACATCTGACCTCTGCTATGTTTTTGCTGTGAACATATTGGGAATTCAAGTGCAAGATAACAGAATATGCAAATCAGCCTTTATACTTTGCCTTCTAGTAAGGCTAGAAACTCGTTCCAATTAGGGTTAATACAGTCTATTTGCCAGCATGAGTCAGCAAGGTTCAAGGACCCAGGAAGAGAATGACTCAGCAGGCTGCCAGCTTGTGACAAGGCACCTAAATAAAAGTGACCTGGTTTTCAAAGAGAGTGAGCGCTCGTGACTCTGCCTGCCGGCAGTTGTCAGGGCCTCGTTCTGCTCAGCTGACAGTTTTACCAGGCTTTAGCCTCCCTTATTTTTCTGTGGAAACAACATAACGATCCATCTATTATACATGGTTAGAAAGGGATCCAGCTAGAAGCTACGCCTTTAACAGTCACAATGGATGACTGTAGTTGAGTCCCAGTAGAATGAAAAAGGATAGTCTGCTTAAAAAAAAGAGACTAGAAATACAATAAGTTTACCTATTTTTTCTGTTAAAATTCTTTGAGCTGTTGCTGTTGACAAAACAATTTGAAGGAAAACAACTTGCAAACAAACTGAACACTGCAATTTCCTTGGTTTTCTTCCCCCTTTTTCAGTGAAGGAAGAACTCTTGGAGGCCTCAGACAAAAAGAAGGGGAGTGGCATTAAAACCAAAGAATAGATTTTTTTTTTTTCTTAAATCGATTTCATAAAAAATTTCAAAAGTAAAAGAAACAGTGAGCATTTTCATTTTCTTGAAGACCAGTAAGTTTTCCAGAGGACAGAAAAATGTCAATGAAAAGATATTTGACCACTTTTTTTTCTGTGCACCTTGAAAAACTGCTATCTTTGTGGACAATGTGATAATGCCATGACACGTTAATTCTGTCCTATGCTGAATTAGCCATATAGATAAAGGCTGTCAGCGTTAGCTGGTTGTCGTTCGGCTAAAGGGTTGAAAACTCCATCTACTGATATAACTTTAAATCCCCAATTCCTTTCCTATGTGAACTACTAAAGCACTTTTAACATTATGTTGGTTACTGAAATCATATTAGCTAACATAACATAATTGCTTAGTATAGGTCTATATTGTAAGAAACATGTAAATGGATAAGGAACCAAGTGCCAGTTCCTATTACAGCAGTGTAAATCCAGAATCATTTTCCTAATTTTAATGAAGTTATGCCAGTGGTCAGCAAAACTAAAATCTGACATGCGATGTAGAGAAATCACATCTCAAACTAAGTTTAGCAAAATTACCGTTCTGTTCCGATTTTCAAACTCCAGGATTATTTTTCTGCCTTGCTCTTGGTTGGCTGTTAATGCTTCATCAAGGCTCTCATAGAAATCGGAGACTTCAGCTTCTCGTTTTTCATACTGTTTCAGACCATAGTTAAACAGATTTTCACAAACTGAGACAAACTCCTTCCTGTACGTGACACCAGAGTCAAGGTATTTTGTTTGTTCAGTGGAGCAACATTCCTCTAGCTCTGCAAATTGGAGTGGTACAAGTTACTGTTATGTAAACTCTGCGGTTCTTGCCTGGAGCAGGGTGCCAAGTGTTCTTCTGTCCAGCAGGACCGGGTCACCCATTCGCATTTTATGCGTAGGCTTTTTCTGTCTTAAGGGCAGGAGAAAGCTGTGGGAGCTCGAAGGGAAAAAGACCTTGAGAAAAATGGAAACGTGTATATTTCTCTGACTCTTTTCTGACACAGCATACAGAATGAAGCATACAACGCTATCTGTCTTTACAACTGTGAATACAGTGTCTGTGTAGTTAATAAATACAGCTCTGGAGCCTACAGCCAGGGTACAGAATAAACTACTGGCTTGGAAGCATCACAAAAATAACATCAATTTTTCTTCTGCTATTATCTTGGCAATGGAATTGTTTCTAGAGTCTATTGTAGTTAAGCTGTGATGCATTTTTCCCCAACAGCGTAATGCAATTTTAAGGAAGGTCAAGTTACTGGCCTTGACAATACTCTATTAATCTGAATGAGAAAAGAAAAAACAAAAGTGTCTGCTTTCTGATCCCTCGTGTAGGAGCAACGATCAGAAAAAAAGCGCTGGCCTGAAAACTTCATGTTGCCAGCTCTGGCAGGTTGTGAGATATGTGACTCGTATCGTTCCGATTAGTCCGTTCCTATCTCCTACCACTTCAATTTCAGCATGATTTTAGCAACTGCGCTCTTGCAATCTAACCGACAAGAGATTTATCGCATAGCTCATTTTAAAGTTTAAAGGATTCCACACTTAAAGAAAGTACAAAGCCTTTTCCCTGAAAGGTCAGAAAAGAAGGCTACTAAAATTATGTCTGCTTCAAGTGAAGAAAAAGGAATATGGTAATTACAATGGTGAGAATTTAAAACGCTGGTACCTCGTGATTTGTTGGTGATAGAAGTGAGTGGTTATACAAATGGGATGTTTCAAGCTGGGTCGGCCAGCTTGCCAACGGTATAAACCATTTGTTTGTAGCCCTCATATTTAAGGCCTGATATCTCATGAAAACTGTCAGTGGTCTCACAGTTTTGCAGTGTTTTTTGGAACCATTCCAAAACTGAACACAGAAATTTCTGTCTCAGATCTTAGATCAATGTAGCTTTCAGTCCTGGACAAAAGCAACAGATGAAGAGCCCCTGTTGATGCACCTCCTTCTTAGCTCAAGTCATTAGGTTTTAGCTCTAGGTCTTCTAAACCCAGGAAGGATATGCCTGCAGCAGGTCACCCACTCCAGGGAGGTAAGCCAGTTTGGCAGCTTCCGCATCCTCTTCATACATACTCTCAAAGAGGAAGGATCCATTCAGGTACTCGACAAAGGCTGTCTTTGAAAAGAATCAAAAACAACGCAAGTAAAATAAAGAGTACCAACCTGCTGCCAATCCTTAGGATGTATCTATACTAGAAGCACTTTACTAGCATAGGAACACTGGTGCAACGTACAAGTAAAGCTCTTCCATGCGGTCACAGTTACCTCAACACAATATTTATCCCCGATCACGAAAGCACCCTGCACTTTCAGTGGAAAACATCTTAGTTCACATGTGGCTTTGCTGCTATAACTGTCTAGCCTAAGGAGAGACAATACCATTTAATCTAATATAAAACATTATCACATACAACTACACACTGCCACGCTTGTTAAGCCTTTCAGATAAGGAGTCAGTGGACTTTGGGGAGGGTCAGAGGGAAGAGCTGCAGGTCTCCTTCCTGCCTCCTCTTCCTGCACTTCAGCCAGTCTGATCTTCTGGAGGCCTAGGACACAGATCCAGACCACAACTGGTCTTGTTTTCAGTTCACAGGACTACAGTGATCTCTGAAAGCCCTGAAGAGTTTACCATAAAACTAATAAAACGCATTAAGTTAGTGTGAAGGAGAAAACAAGTCACTGCACCATGAAAATACTAACAGTTCCCTCAGACCTGTAATTTTCTTCATCTAATGTCAGGCTGATAAGAACCTCAAGAATGATTTACTATTTAGCTTCTCAGTGTTTATATGGGTAATGTCACTGTTCAGCCAAAAGAATTATGTTCCTCCATGTCATGTATTTTCTACAGCAGTTCCTGATTTCATTCAAAAGATGAGATTAAGAGATTAATCCTAGTCTCAGTTTTAGCATAGTCAATGTTAACCCCTAATTAAATCTTCAAGCAGGTTAAAAGAGAAGTCAATATCTGTTGCACTTCTTTCCCCTGGGACAACCAGCCAAGGAAAACATACCTTGTGGTACTCCAGTTCATTCTGCTTTGCCTGCTTTTCCTCCAGCTGAGCCAGAGCCTGGGCCTCCACCTGTTTCAGTGGTTCAGTAGAATACTGGTACTTTAAAACTGCAGCTTCTCGCTGAGAAATATAAAGAAAGAAAATATTCTGATTAGGTTATCCAGCACTGCCAAATAAATCTAGGCACAAGCAGTCAGTCTTTCTGTAACATGCATCTGAATGACATCCACATCCCCACTTTTTTCTGTGCTTTATATTAAACTGCCTATGACGTTTCTAATCCGTTCCTCATCCCGCTTTCTGTTAGCGTATTACTCGGCCTCTGCATTCAATGCATCTGAGCTGATTTGGACTCAAGAAACTTTCCTCTCTCGATTTCCCAATTTTTTTTCTCTTTTTTTAAGCAAGAGGCCCTGTTTTGACTTTTAGAATTTGAGCTCTGATTTGATCAGCTAGTGGGTTTAATACATTTACTAGGGAGGAGATGGATCTTTTGAGGAGTGGATGGCAAGGTAGCAGCAGGGGCAAGAACCTAATTAGTTTTAAACTCAAGCTTGACAAATTTAAGTACGCGACTCTATGACATATTGTCTGCATGAGCAGGGACTGGACTCAATGACCTGAAGAGCCCTTCCAGTCCTCTGATAAGAGTAATATATATTCCAAATACAGCTCCTGTTCTGTGCTAAGTAAATTTCAAATTAATCATGATCTTTGGTTATTAAAATTTTTTTCTGTGTTCCTTTGAGCCTTGGGACCAAAAAGCAGTCACATAGGCAACCACAGCTGACGGACTGTTCTGTTCTAAAGAATCAGGAATGGGAAGCCCATTTGGATGGCACCTGGTTGCCTGGATAACCTGTCAGTCAGCTACTGAAACGAGCAGGACCACCAAGCTTGTTTTTCTGGATTCGTGTCTCAAGATTTATCTCCTCTGAGATTCCCTGTTCTCTAAGAAGTCTTGCACTCACACTGCAGCCTCTCTATAGCAACATTAACAAGGCCTCTCCCCCACACTCAGGCACCGATTTTCACAAAACCTGTGAGAACATAATACGTTTGACACCTCTGCCTCTGTCAGATTTGATATAATTTGGCCCACAGGTTCAGAGCTGTTAGGCAAACACAGAACACACACTGCATGATTCCAAAAGCCTAATTTCTTCAGGGAACCAGACTGAAACGCTAGGATATTGCGGGCATAGCAACAAAGCAAAATGCTCTATGTGGTGCTGGTACCCAGTTTCACATGAAGAGAACGCAGAAATACTTACCATAGTGTCACTCACAAGCTTGAAGTCCAAGTATACCAGCTCTGGAAGGTGAGCGACTGTAAACGGTGCATACTGCTCATTGTCACAGAGAGGGTTCCCCATGAGATTCAGTGTGCGTAAGTTTTTAAACCTCCTGAGATAGATCACCTATGCCAAGAGGAAAGAGGTGCTGTACTTCGCAGCGTTGTGGAAATACACAGCTTTGAAATTTGTTGCACTTATCAGAACTATGCTGCAATACGTATCCTGCTCAACTACCAAGCATAGGTGACATTAAATTACGAGTTTCTAATGGTTTTATTTGGGAAAGGAAATGCTTATAATTCATATCATGGATATATAAATGATGGGTCTGGAGAGAAGGCCTTTAGCTGGGTGGTGGACAAGTCAGGGATCATAGATTAGTAAACTGCTCTCAGAGAGCCCCAAATAAATCCTAGCCTCCGTTCCTTCCTTTTCTGATAGCTACTTATTCCTTTTCCAGCTCTCATGGAAACTGATAGGAATTTTGCTATGGATGGCAACAGCAACAAAGCCAGGTCGCCCATGAGTGAATAATCTAAAAGAGAAATAGCTGAAGTAAGCACTTCATACCTGGATAGCTTACCAAAACCATAACTCAGTCTACAGAGGAAGTGAAATCCTAAGGAGAATTTTCTCCTCTAAGGAGGGCTCAGATGTAGTGGCAAATGTCAGTTTAATAATATTTGATATGGGACACTTGGAAAGCCAGAGGCACTCACGTCTTCTAAAGTGGCCAGGTTATTCTTTCCTATTGAAAAAATCTGTAGGTCTTGTAACGTGTCCATGTGCTCAATTTTAGATATTCTGTTATTGTAGAGGCTCAGGTCCTGCAGTTTAACAAGGGTATCCAGGCCCTCAATGACTTCAATATTATTGAAGGACAAATCTGTGGAAGAGTTTAGAAAGCAAGAGTTTTACAAGCACCAAGTCAAGTTAGCTGTAGTAGAACACCCCGACTCAGACCCTGCATTTAGCCTGACTCTTGATTTTAGAATTTATATGGAGTATTTTCCTCAGGGTTGCTCAGTGTCCCACAGAAAAGGCTCAGCATAAAATCATCATTCTTTGGGTCAGGAAGCAATAAGGGAATCTCCTGCTTATGACTGTCCATGCAACTTGTAACTTAGAGGAATTGTTGCAGTCAGTCTATGCGAGGACTACACGCACAACCTGAAAGTGATTTCTACCTTAGCGGGAAACCCAAAATACAAGAAAAGAGGTAAGGAAATGCCCCTAAAGAGGGTTTTCTGTGACCAATTTGACCCCACTTGCCTTGTTTCTTGCCAACTCTTGCCTGCCACACCAATGACCCCCAATATAGCAATTCCCATAGGGCCAGCATATGCCAGTTCCATGCTCATTAACTGCCCTGTTGTCAATGGAGATGCACAAGAGCATACGTTCACTATAGCTATTTCACTTTTTTATAGTCCCTCATCTTATTCTGCCTGAAAAATCTATCCTAACACTTCAATTCATCATGACTGAGGGCAATATTTACCCTCAGGCCAATACCGAGTGCTTTGGGAACCCAAAGAGGGCTGATGAGGTTACCAGCTGTCTGCATCATCCCAGTGCACAGACGGCTGAGACACTCATGCAGCTGGTGCTGAACCACCAGAACCTCTAGGCAAACTGAAACTCACGAGCGTGCTTCAAAACGCTCTGCTCCCACTGCAGCGATGAGCTGTTGATTCACAAGTGCATTAGTCATCTGTGCAGCGGGACGGGGCAGACAACTGGGGGGAAGGACATTTCAAGATGTGCTTAGGAACCAAAGCCCTACATGCTGTTTGCACTGGTGACTTAAGATATATTTACACTGCAACCCAGTAATGTGGCTGCAGTTCACAGAGAATGCTTTAAGCTGTGAATCTGTAGCGGCCAGGCCACAGGCCTGCACCACTGTATGACACTGCTATTAGTACCCCAATGTATTAGTTGAAAGAAGTCACATAAGACTACAAAGATGGTCGCTTCTTGAAACAGCAACAAAGAGGAGCCCTCAAGTGTGCAAGGGTAAAGGCACCGTTGCCTTTCTGCGGGTTCTAGGCTCTGAAGTGCCTGTATTACCTCTGAAAACAGAATACAGGCTTCTGAATCACAGAGGTGTTTTCGTAAGTATTTCTGAAAGTTACCGCTGTACAAACCCTGGAAACAACTATGAATTCTTAGCTTGCTGTTCCTGCCACACCAAATACATTAAAGCCATTTTTTTTAAATAACATTCATGCCTTTTGACATTTGACAATCAAATCAGGAAACACGCAGACAGCTGACAGCCATCCCTGGGAAAGCTCCCATCAGTTGTATTTGAGAAGGAATGTGACATCCTGGTTTAACTGCAGGTTACTTTGCACCTGTGAAGGCATCCAACCTCACATGCCTGTATCTCACCAAGCCATAGAAGGTGAACCAGACTCTCTAGAGCTTCTATCTTCTCAATGATGTTGTTGTCCAGCTGCAATTTAGTCAGATTCTCAAACTGCCACAGATTATCAATCTGCAGAATATCTAAAGCCACAGGAAAAACAAAACAAAACAAATCTGCTTTTTATGCGAGGCAGGTTTCAGTTTAGCGCACACACTTTCTTACACCAGCAAAATAGGTCAGTCTTGCCTCCAAAATGATTTTCAGCAGGCTACAATAGCGTGTGATGACTGCCCTGGCGAGAGCTGAGAGGTCCACTGGCTGGATGAGGATTTCAGCGCAGCAGCCAGGTTAACCTCAGTGTCCTGCACCAGCACACACTGCTAATCAGTGATGCCAATGAGTCACTAAGGCGGTGCTGACTACAGCACTGCAGTCAAGAGCGGCTTTATGAATCTACTACCAGGAGGCCTTGACATTCATTTTGCTTTCCAGCTCCAAGAGCGAGGTTTGGGATGAACCTCTGCTTTCCTCTGCATTTGCAGGCTCCTGGCAGCCAGCTACTGCTTTTGTAAGTTACTCTCCTGCCCCTGAAATTCTCATTACAGGAGAGCAGGTCGGGGACTACTGTTTCTGTGAAGGCTGCAGTTCAGAGCTGATCAATATCACTGCATTTAGCTTTCTCCAGAAACTCCATCACAAGGGCAGGCTGTTAGGCATTACAGGAAAACACTAGAACCAAGGTGACAAAATATGAAACATTCTCACCCCAATTCTCTTTATGCCAATGAATTCCCTGAAGATTTTGTTAGGTGCTATTGTTTAGCGAGTGCAATGTAAAGCAAGGAACTGCATGCATTAAATACTCACGCAGTGCCATGTTCTGATTTGCACACAAATGTATGCAGAATCAAGTAACAGGAAGTGCGTGTATCCTCTGAGTTTCTTAGTACACATTTTACTGGAGCACACAATGAATAAGCAAAAGCAGATTTTGTCCATGAAATTACGTACCCCGAAAATACTCAAATAGTGAGCCAGATGTTCTTCTTTTTCTTTTTTCTTTTTTTTTTTTTGTTTTTTGAATGCAAGTTTATGTCTGGTTTGACAGTAAAAGGCAAGGTGGCCTAATGCTATGGATGGCCAGGGGAGGCCACTGAATTGAACTGTCATCGCCATAAGCTACCAAATAGCCCTCACGTAATAGCCAGCGATGGTCACTAACAGCTTGGCCAGCATTTGATTTGTCCACATATAAAAGGGCCCAACAGGCCTATGGCCTGTAGGTGTCACCACAATATAAATGTTAAATAAGAACGGCAGTGACAATAATAGCACAAAGTTAAGCAGCTTTAAAGTTATCAATCAGCAAAGCCCCCCAGCTCTCTCTACTGAAACTACTTCATACAAGTATGACTAAAAATGTAAGTCCAGTCCCTTACTATTCATATACCAAATCCAAGCTAATCATGATTACATAATTGCCAGTTAGCCACTCAATGCTTAATTCTTCTACCCTCTAATAAATAAACATATAATATATATATTCTGATACTCACTTCTAAAACTGAACTGTAGCTCTGTGACGTCTTTAAAACTAATACCTTCCCTTTTGGCAAGCTGCCCTGCCTCATCTTGACTTTGCTCTTCCACAGCTTTCTGAACCATTTCTTCGCTGATCACATTTGGCTCAATGATATTGTATAATTGACTCATTTTTAGATGATAAGCGCCTTAAAAGAAAAAATAAATAAATAAAGCCACTGCCTGGCTACCATTTCCAAAATTTATTGAAATGGCATAACAGTTCCAAAGATAACAAAAACATAGCTGGGTATTGAGAGGATTTAATACCTCACGGATGATATCAAAGAGGTATTTTACTTTTACCACAAAGTCACTGATGCTACGCTGAGCACAACCGTACAGGCAGGCAACTTTAGCAGGTTACAACAGGCAAACTTCACACCATATTTGAGAGTTTTCCATAAAGAATGTAAATATTTGGCCAGATAAACAGAACAGCTAAAGGAGGCCCTGTGCCCTATAAACAACGAGTGTTTTGTACGGAAGGATCCTTCACATGGCAGTCACTTGTTGCTGAAATCCATCTTTATGGAAATGGCCTATTCAAGGCTCTGTATACCACATAAATCTAGTTTTGAAAGGCAAGTTTACCATTATAGGAAGGTTTGATTTATAGAGTAAGAGACCATATGTTAGTAACAGCAGTTTGCTAAATTTTAAACACTGATTTCATAATGAAAATAAAAACAAATTTGGGGAAGGAGGAAAACTTATAAACAATAGCAATGATTCGCTAAAGCAAACACTGAATAGAGATCCACAGTAAGGGTCATCTGACCGAGGCAGTGTATTTCAGTCAATATATAGCATTGAACACTTATACGTTCACTCTGACAACTGATTTAGGAAATCCACAATTCCTAACTCTCTGCCCTTGCTTTGTTATTTAAATATACCTAACGTTTCCCTGGAGGCAATGAGGCTGCTTGTCTTTCTGGAACTGCGCACAGACTCAGTATGAAGGACCTGAATCTTCAAACCTTCACTTCATGGAAAAAGTTTGGCTGATTTCTCTGCATAGGAGCACAGGAATGAGAAATGCTTGAATTTAGATAATTCCATCCTAACCATGCTTTTAAGTAACAAACCAACTCTCTATATGACCATGTTCAACACAGCCCAAGGAATAGCAGCACATCATGGATTCATTCATCTGTGACCTGCTAGACTTTCCACTGCCTTTTCCTTGCATTTGTCTGTCATCTCTTTAGCTAATGTTAGTGCCACAGATCTAACCAAACCGTCAAGGTCTGCAGCCTGCTGACACTCTGCAGGAGCAATCTGGGCACTGCGGAAATGAGAGCAGTGGATGCATCACCCAGACAAGGTGCTGCTGCTCACCGTCGGCACAAGCCCAGGCCTGGGAAGCAACTCCGCATCCCCCAACACCCCCAGGCGCTGCAGGGCCCAGGACGGTGCCTCTCACCCTCCCTATCCAGGTGACACTAACCCAGGCGGGCTCCCCTCCTTCCCCCTGAGAAGGGGGCTGCTGGCCGCTGTGGCTGCCTGCAGGGACCAGAGACCCCAGGCTCCTTGGCCTCCCCAGGCCCCACCCCAAGCCGTCCTGGGGCCTCAGCCCCACGGCTGCCCGGCCTCCAGGCCCCGGTCCTCCAAGCCCAAGCCGACTGCTACGGAAGCCCAGGCCCGTTGCTAAGCAAGGCCACGTGACAAGCTGAGCCGCCAATGGTCAGGGAGTGGGTGGGAAGGCTGTCTAGCAATCAGAGCGCGAGAAAACGGTGTCAGCCAATCAGAGTGGGCACCGTGCCCTTGGGGCGGGAGGAAGCACTTGTGATTGACGTGGAACTTGCCCAATAGTCTTAGAGAACGGTTTGGCAGTTGCCCAATGGTGAATGCCTATAGCGATATCCCTGCTGTCGATCAACTGGAGGGCGTGGATTACCGACGGGGCGGGTCCTTCACTTGACAGTGATGGACACGCTCTTTAACCTGTGAGACCACGGGGAGTGCAGTCTCGGCCCAATCGGATGCAAGGAGGCGGGCCTCGCCTGGCAGGGTATGCTGCGGTTGGTGGGCGGGGGTGCCAGTCAGGGCG